TAAGGACCTGACGCATGTGTCAGGGGCACAGAATTCTACACTTAGTGTAGAATTCTGTGGTCAGGGGACAAACTTTTTTTGTACTACAAGCAATTTTTTTTTGGGGGGTAGACATTCACATTTAACTTTTGATTTTGATCTAACAAAACTCATATTGGTTACTTTTGATTGCAATGAGCGTAACAACAATACAATGTATTCCAATAGTTCCGTGGCATTGTTTTAGCTATACGTACGCCTTGCAACTTTTGCTACTTTTTCTTGCAACTTTTTGCAACTTTTGCTATTTTCAAATGCAACTTTCTCTGAGGACAGATTTTTGAGACTTCCGGAGCATAAAAGGTTTTTAAAGGCTTTGGGTGCCTCTTATGTTTATTAATTCTCACATGGGTTGGGGATATATAAATAGACTCGCTGTCCCTGGGATCCGTGAGCAACATCTTCTTTGGTGCATTTTCCTTTTCTCCATCCTTTTTTCTCCTTCCCCTTCTTCTATCATTTCTTCCACCGCTTACCCCGTGTGCAGCAAAACTAGAGGTCGTCCATCCCACAGAATGGGCGCCTCGTTGACCGTGGGGTGCGACCTGTGGAAACAGGGTAACTGGCAGTTGAAGTGAGATCAGTCTGCGGACTGTCCCTCGCCAACACACCTCTTTGACCCACTTTTTCCCCCCACGGGAGGGTGGGGCGGCCTATGCCACTCAATCGATTTGGAGCTGAAGCCCCTCCAGTTTTTCCTTGGGTCAATCTTGATGGGACGATCTAGTACACTTTCGTGGAGAGTATAACTCCGGAGTAGCTCTGGCTCAGCTCTGGTCATCCGAGCAATGTTTCCTCTGTTTCACTCAGTGGTGGGAGGGGAGCCCCGTTGTTGAAAAGCATTCCAACACACATTGAATCCCCAAAAACATTCTGACCCATCCCCAGTCCCCAACGATACAAAAAAGTTTCGGCTCGTAGAAGCGGGTGTAGCCACCGAGCCGAGCAGACAACCAGGAAAACCGACCTTTACGGCTGATTGTGCTCTCCCTCCTCCCAGGGAGCTTCTGGGGCAGCCGTACTTGACCATCCGCAATTTTGATGCACAGAAGAAGATCACAGATCCAACCCTTTTCATGACAGGAGATGCTTTAAAACAGACACTGGGATACATCCCCGCCAACGTCCAAAAACTGTCTTCTGGTGCACTCCTTGTATACGAAACAGAAATAACTGGACCCCTGTATCTCACGACCTTCCATGGTATTCCTGTGAATCTTGGAGACACAAGAAGTACAACTGCTTGAAGAGCGTCGTCCGCAGTCATGAGATGAAAGGCTGCTCTTCAGAAAAAATTGTGGCTATATTGTGAGGGTGTGGTCGAAGCCCGCCAGATGACTCTTCGGCGGGGCGAGACCGCCCTTGAAAGGAACACAATTGTTTTGACTTTCGTTTCATGCTGCCTCCCCAGCCACTGTTCGGGCAGCATACTTGGTCCTGGACATGCAACCCTAAGTGCAAAACGCTCTGCGCTGCTTCAAGGGCCAGAAGTTTGGCCGTAGCCAGTCGTGATGCCGACACGCAGAAGTGTGTACTCGTCGTGGCAAGACCGGGCATCCTGAAAAGGTATGAAAGGCTAGTCCTTTCTTTCGTTCACAATTGCCACGGCCAACACTTGGTTCCAAGAAAGCACCATCCAAGAGTACAAAGCCCGAAATGGCTGCTCATTTCAGAAGCCTCGAAAGACTGTCTACCCGACAGTTATGACCCCGGTCCCTGGTCGGTTAAACGCAAAGGCAGTCCAGTCCGGCTGGTCTCGTGATCAGCCAGTACTTCTACTGCCAAACTCAAAGAGCCCGTGGTCAACAGGCGAAACTGCAATAAAAGCTAAGAAGGTCCCTCCTACTCCTGTAGTAACCACCTTCGAGGGGCCACTCGCCAACTGTTTCAGAGTTCTAGGGGAGAACGAGGTGGACTCTTACTCCACCCCCTCTTCTTCTCTCTCCCCACGCCCCACCCCTCTGATGGTGTGTGAGGTGCCCCCTCCCCCTCATCCAGCCCCTCCTCCTTCTTTCCAATTCCCTTCGCCCTACCTACCCTTACCCCTCCACCAGATATTCCCTCCCTTTGGAAGATGGCACCTCCGATCCGAGAAGGAAGGAAGCCGTCACTCCCTCCCCAAGTCTCCCGGTTGGATGCTGCCCAATCAAGGGCGGCAGCCGAGCAAACCCTCTTCTTCCTCCACAAGGAGGAGTCAGAGCTTAGAGAAGACGGGACCTCTGTGCTCCAAATCTTTAAAAAATGGTCTAATGGCGGTCCTGCAGTGGAATGCCAGAGGACTCCGACCTTCCATTCTAAAATTGCAACACATACAGGTTACACTGTGCCCACTTGTGGCCTGTGTCCAAGAGACAAAGTTCGCCCCGACTTCAAACATTGACTTAAAAATTTCTCATCATCATATTCACGCCGAGAACCAGACAGCTTCTGGTTCAACCACCGTCTACGATACATCGACAACAACCCCCTCCACAGACAAATACATGTACATCTTATGACAACCCTCGAGGCTATTGCAGTATGGGTCACCCTGACAAGACCAATCACGATCTGCTCCATATGTCCCGTCAAATTATCCCCTCAAAATTACCCAGCTTAATGACTCAAACACCAAGTCCACAGACCCTTTATCTTAGTAGGAGATTTTAATGTACATAACCTCCTTTGGGGATTTTGGCAACAAGGAAAAAAACAATAAGAGACTTTTTTTAAAATTTCAAAACAACATCTGCCTTTTAAATTGTAAATCCTCAACTTACTGCACTGAAACAAATCCTTAACACTTCATCCATCGACCTTTCTTTCTACTCCCCTGACCTGGTCCCAGATTTTGAGTGGTCTGTGCTGGATGACCGTGCGGATCATTTCCCAATATTTCTCAAGAACAATAGCCTCCAACACCTCCAACACGAACGGACCCCAGAGCGCTTTAACTTCAAAAAGCATACTGGGACGGGTTTGTTATTGGATGCTTCCATAATTTGAACCCCACTTTCAGCCTCAACTACCACTAATTTCACGAAACGATTCCAGAAATGTGTCACAAAGACATACCACAACCATCAGAAAAACCCCCCGGAAAACTAGGTACGGTTCTCTGGGGTGTGTGGTAATGTCATAGACCCCAAAGAAAAAGAAAGCAGCAAAAATGCTCCACCCCGAAGCCTCCATATTTTTCTGCGGAGGCCACTGCTATTGACTTGGCGTTAGACTCCGTAGAATATTCTCCCAAATTATCGTTTCTCATTCTGTCCGATGCCTTGTCTTGCCTCACTTCACCCACCAATCTTCTTCACTTCATCTTCTACTATCCCGTAGACCGGATGTCCGTTGTGGCGCTATTGAAGATTTGGGCACCAGCTTCCTCCACTCCTTCCGCTCTTCAGATTTCCTGAGCGTGTCTTTGAGGTCCAGGCCTGTTTGTTCCCTGATTTTGTCCTTCCAACTCTCCTTCGGCCTGTCTCTGCTCCTTTTTCCCTGGACGCTGCCTTGCAAGATCATCTTGGTAAGGCCGGATGAACGGACGATGTGTCTATGCTATTGCAGTATGCATTTTATGACCAAAGTGAGAAGGTCAGGGTATGGTCCAATTGCATTTTTGATCCGTTGTTCGACTTCATCATTTGTGATGTGATCTTTTTATGAGATACTAAAGACTTTTCGGAAGTACTCCACAGCTTTGATCCTTCTTCTTTCAAGGTCTGTATTCAAGGTCCAGGATTCACATGCATACAAAAATATTGACATGACCAGTGAACGAATGAGTCTGATCTTTGATCTGATGGTGATATTTCTGTCTTTCCAAACGGT